GGAAAAGACAGTAAAAAACATCTCAAGTTGACAAAAAACTCTGTCACCTTCAGCTGTCAAAGTAAACAAGTTTCAAGATGCTGCATTTCTCAACCAAAAACCCAATAAACAAACCAGCCATGAATAACAGAAGACTCTTGATAGCAGCTGTATTTCATTTTGTACATCCAGTGGAGAAAGACATAAAAAAAACATCACAAGTTGACACAAAACTCTGCCAGCTTCAGCTGTCAAAAATAAACAAGTTTCAAGATGCTGCATAAATTTGCCGCATGAACTCACCTGTCAGATTTTGACCAATCAGAGCATAAAAATTGGACGTAGAGCGTGACCAACGCGTGTTCATGATAACAAAAGGTCTTCTCCGCCTGTGTTTTTAAATAATTTTACTGAATTTTCGTGTCCGAAGTAAGTTTGAAATCAAAATCTTAATAGTGCTGGGCCATAGTGACATAAACAGACATATTTCATATAAATTTTTAAAAAAACAAAATTGAGCTTGCGATCATTTGAAAACTAGTAACTTGTCAGGGGATAACTTCAAAAAATACTCGACCTCGATGGGTCGACACCTGAGCCCGCGATACGGTCAGGTGATACTGGTCAGCGGATACCCTGTTTTGACAGCTGTCAATTGATCACAACATTGATGTGCAATCACTTTTCTCCTGGGCTCCCAAACTAGCTAGAAAGTGTGACAGTAAACATTGGTATGCCTGTGGTGCGGACGGACGGTCGTTCGTTCGTTCGTTCGGTGTACGGTCACGTGATAACCAAATTTTCTGGGATAGGTACATTTACTTAGCTATGGGGCTCCGCCCACGTGCGCGCGCTTCGCGCGCGCGTGGAGCTCCGCTAAAACAATGAATAAGTAAAAAAAAATTTCAAAAAATAAAAATAAATTTCTCAAATTTACAAGATGCCTTTCAGTGCTACGAAAGACATACAACTCTCAATGTTTCAGTTCAAGATCTTACACCACATCTTACCCACCAACGCGACATTATATAAATTCGGAATTAAGGAACATGACCGCTGTCATTTATGCGCTGAAAAGCAAACAATCACACACCTATTTGTGACTTGCCCCAATGCTCAGCTGTTTTGGACACATTTTTCAGTTTGGTGGCGCGAAAAAAACAACATTGAGATCTCGCTTTCTGAAGCACAAACACTTTATGGCATTACAGACACCGTGCCTCAGTGTCTTGGTTTGAACCTCTGCTTGATAATTGCAAAATACTATATTTACACCGCGTCTAAAAATGAGGAAGATTATTTTTTCGACGCTTTTTTGTCTATCCTTAAAAATAAAATACAAATTGAAACTAGCAAAGCAAAGGTGCAAGTCAAGCTGTAAAAATAATTTTCTTGATTCTGGCTAATTTCCCTTGTTCTTTGGCTTTTTTGTTTTGTTTGTTTGTTTGTTATATATTTATTTATTTATCTATTTTTTTGTCGTTTTTTGCGTATTTACTCTTCGTTAATAGATAGTAAGTTAGTAATTAGTTGTATTAGAATTCTTTTTTCATTATTTTGTAACAGACTCCAACTCATTGGCTCCTGTTTTGTAAGCATTATCTTGTAAGTTTATATTATGTAAGTATGTAGTATTTAACTTAGCAAGTTATATGTAAGTAGGTATTAAAGCTTTATGTAAGTAAGTAAGTACTATGTAAGTAAGTCAGCATTATGTTTGTAAAAACAATAAAAATTAAAAAAAAAAAAAAAAAGGAAAAAAAAAGGAAAAAAATATAAAATTAATTCAATTTCTTTTCGTGGTCTACTTGGGATTATAATGCGAACAGTTCAATTCTGCTCGCTTGTCAGTATTTGAACGCCTGTAGTTGGTTAAAGAAAAGAAGGCAGATTAAATGCTATTAATTATTTTACAAATTAAAACTACCAACTGTCTACTCAATAAACAGTGAAATATAACGTCACTTCGACAGCCAACGTTAAAACAAGATAGTTTTTTTCGGTCACCGGCGTATTGCTAAGATAACAAAACTAGCTATCCAATAACTGATTGCAGGCGTAAAAGTTGTTTCCCAGTTGAGAGCATAATGGCATTCACCTGCAGAACCATGTGACAGTAATTTACTTCGTATAAATATCTTTATTACAAGATATAACGTACCGGGAATCAGCTCAGTGTGATGCTGCGCTTGCTCGTGGTATCAGTTTCCGGGGTGCCAATCTCCTCTTTGCTCCCGATGCCCGTACCCAACTGGTTTACGTGCGTGATCTTTCGTGCGAGGTTCCAGATGAACCAGTCAAAGTCTTCCTTTGTGGTTATGGCGTCGTCCATTCGTTGAATCCTAAGGCCTACCCTTATATTTCCGATGTGCTCAACGGTACTCGTGTGGCCAAGGACCTGTCGTCTTCAGTCCGCATCGCCGGTTATGATGTTCGTTTGTGGTATCAAGGCCAGCCTCACGTCTTCCCGGTGTGCTGCTGGCCTGGTCATTGTATTTAAGACTATCCTTTTAGTGGTGTCTGACGTCGTTGCCGTCAGCATGGGCATATGGCTGGCGAGCGTGCCTCCCTTCAACCGTCTGCTGCTGCCCCTGCCTCTAATTTCGTTCCTCCTGTTCCTTCATGCTACTGATTCTGTTTCTGTTTCCGGCGCCGATCCTTCAATGTCTGCCGATGAAGAAGAGAACCAGATTTCTTTGATCTTTCCGCCTATGAGTCTGTTTCCTGTTCTGGTGACAGTGCTTAGTCTTGTTCCCACTTCTGTCTTGGTTTCCAGTTCCAGGAGGCGTGCTGCTTCGGCTTCGGCTGCCCTCCGTCTTCTCGTGTGGCTCTCGAGTCTTCTGCTGAGTCCCCCGTCGATCTCCAGGACAAAGAGCTTGATGAGCTGCAGAGTCATTCTGATTCTCCTTCTCCCTCGCGTTCCTGCTGCTGCAAAGCCCGATTTTGCATCTGCAAAGTCTTTTGTTACAAAGTCCGTTGTTTCCTGCTTCTGAAAAGCCCGTTCCTGTTACTGCAAAGTCTTCTGACTGCCTGTCTACCAACTGGGGGGTTTCCCGCCGTTCTGGTTCTGGTTGTGTTGTATTCGAATGTCCTAATTCTCAAGTCGTCTGGGACTTTGGTTCTCTCTCCCGCTCCATTGAAGAAGTGGATTCGATCTGCTTTGAGTATACGATCGTTTCGTGAAATATGTTCGTCGTCAGGTTCCGAGGAAGAAAGCATCTTTTATGCGGTGTGAGTTTACTGTTTTTGAAAATGCTGCTGACCCCCTGCCTTCTGGTCGGCCTGCTAAGTTCCCTGGACAGTAATTTGTTTCGTTCCTCGATTGATCCGTTGTTGATGTATTCGACCTCCTCCTGCTGTGTTAATGTTTTTGCTGCCTCGTATTTTGTTTAATGTTTACTGGTGGGCGAGGTTCGACACGTTGGCGAGTTGGGTGGACGGATTCCCCCTCCTTACCCGTCCGTTGTTTGTGATGTGTCTTGTGGCTTTTGCTATAGTGTTTTGTTTGGCGCCATTGCACTTATCCCACTGGAGGCTGGCTACTCATCTTAAATCAGGCGCAAAAAAGCAAGTTTCTTATCATATCAGCAGAACGATGGGCGATTGCTACACCTCGCGAGCAGAAACTACATTAAGTGTTATTGTCAGAAAAAACCGGGCAATAGCAAAAGATCGAGGTCGGCCGTTTACCTTCATGTTTTCACAGTATGAAAGCTATCTGAAAAGATTAACAACCATGGCATTTGGAGAAGTATCCGTTCGATTTTCTTCGAGATATCACTATTTCGAGATTTTGGGACCTCCGGCGACCTAAAAAGGCACAAATTTTGGCTAACTTTGGGTGAAGTTAAAACATACTTGGCCAAACTCCCAATAGTTCTTATATTTTTTCCATAACACCTATCATTTCGTTAGTCGACTGGAATATGTTAAACTTCCTTTGCTTAAATACTCTATTTTTTACCTGGTGCTAAAAATCGCTCCTGAATCGTTAATGAGCGTCACCCAAATTTCAGTCATTTTCAGTTGACTGTTTTACCGAGATGCGGCAGTTTATTTCAAAAGTAAAAACACTTCTAGATGACTTATTGTGCTGTTATCAAACTCCAGTTTGTTTAAAATTGGTATTTGGCAGCAAATTGGAGAAAATGGCATGCGAAAGTACAATAATAAGCGTCGAGTATTAATATTTCCCGCCAAATTTAATAGCGCCACGTTTCGTTTTACTGTGATTGTGGTTCGGAAATGTCTTAAAATAGATTTTTACGACTTCAGAAGAGATAATTGAAAACTTTTATATCCCTAATTACAAGGAAAAACATTATAAATCACCGTATTGATAATAATAACACTTAAATGATTTTCGCAGTGTGAGTAAAGGTAGAGCGCCCGCTTAGCATGCGGGAGGTACTGGGATCGATACTCATGCAGATTATCCATTTTTTTTAAATGAATGTGAATGCAGCAATGTGTATAAGGAAGAAAAATTTCTTTTAATCATTTTCAAATAAAGAATACAATAAATAAATAAAATACAATGAGCTCAAACTTTATTTCAATGAGAAAAAAAACTTAAGTCTTAATTTTAAAGTTCCCAGTTATGTGTCATGGAAACCTGACCCTGGTGCTCAATATGTCAATGCATTTTTCATGAGTTGGAAGGAGTACTATTTCTATGCTTTCCCCCCTTTTAGTGTTATAGCAGCCTGCCTACAGAAAATAGAGCAAGATCAAGCAACTGATGTCTTTCTCGTTCCTGTTTGGCAGACACAACCTTGGTTCACCCCTCTCCTTCACCTGTTAGTAGACAATCCTGTTCTTCTCCCCCAGTCGACTCATCTGTTGACACAACCACACAACCATGCCTTACATCCCCTTCGACGACAGTTGAGACTGATGGCTTGCATGGTCTCCGGGAAAGTCTCCAGCAGAGAAATGTTTCAGGCAAGGCTACAGCAATCATCCTCAAGTCCTGGTCTGACGGAACACAAAAACAGTACAAACCATACATCAAACAGTGGATGGACTTTTGTAGTGAATGGAAGACTGATCCCTATGATCCACCTGTAACCGTTGTTTTAGAATTCCTCGTTAGCCTCCATGAAAAGGGATTGACTTACACCACCATCAATACTGCCAGGAGTGCCGTATCAGCAGTTACTATACCCAAGAGTAACATGACTGTGGGCAGTCACCCACTTGTTTCCAGGTTTATGAATGGTGTTTACAAGGATTCTCCGCCAACTCCACGCTACCGGTCAACATGGGATGTAAAGCCTGTCCTAACTTATCTTTCCTCCCTTCACCCTCCAGAGAAGCTTGATTTAAAATCACTCACTCTAAAGCTGGTTATGCTGATAGCCCTGGTCTCTGCACAAAGGGGACAATGTTTTTAAATTTGCTTGACCTTGGTTGTATGAAAAAAGTGACTAATGGATTTGAATTCTTGTTCATGGAACATGTCAAACAAAGCAGGCCTGGTTACCGAGCTCCATCTGTTCTCCTGCAAGCTTATCCTGCTGATTTGTCACTCTGTGTGTCTACTTGCTTGGCAGAATATCTTGAGCGAACCAAGCCACTAAGGGGAGCGGAAAGTAAACTTTTTTATTAGCTTCATCAAACCTTACAAACCTGTTTCCAGGGAAACTATTTCTAGATGGATTCGTTTGATAATGGAGTCGCCTGGTGTTGACACCAGTGCATTCAAACCACACAGTACAAGAGCTGCAGCTACGTCGAAAGCCAAAGCTTCAAATGTCCCCATTGATGAAATCCTGCGTACAGCTGGATGGTCGTCCTCGAGGTGTTTTGACCGTTTCTACAATAAGCCAGTCGTTACCTCCACTTTTGCTTCTGCAGTGCTTCAGACTGATTAGAACAAGGACTAGGGCCTTTGCTTCTCTGCCCTGTTGCTACTGTTTAGTGATTCTCTATAACGTTGATTAGTTCCTACAACTTAGAGGTTTTTTCAGGGTTATTGTGCTTTAGCCCTGTTGTTTCTATTACTCAGTGTGTTCATATAGCATTATTTGTAAGCGTTTTTTGTTCTTTATTTTTATGGGCTACAGTTTGTGTTACTGTTAGTACTGTATAGGGTTGTTTATGCATTAAACACCTTGCAGTTGGACTTTGGGTTTTTTCTTCATGTGACTGTCTTGGCTTTAAAGTCTCATGGGATCCCTGGGGCAGTGATGACGAGATAGAATTGAAAAATTAAACGAGACTTACCTGTAAGTTGAAGTTTTATTGGAATTCTATCGAGTCATCAAACTGCACCAAGGGATCACATGCCCACCCTTTGTACAACCAGTCATGGTTGATTTTGTCGTACCCACCGTTTGTCCTACCGAGGTTTTACTTCGGTTGGCTTTCTGATATTACCCCCTTTTATGGGTGTTTGTTTGTAAGACACTCACATTCAGCTGTGAATACTGATTATGCGCATATCTCATGTGATCCCTTGGTGCAGTTTGATGACTCGATAGAATTCCAATCAAACTTCAACTTACAGGTAAGTCTCGTTTAATTTCTCAATTTTTGATTAGTACGTGTACTCTCTGGCTTAAAAAATCTGAGGGGTAATTTATAATTTCTGAATCTCCTGTTGAGACTCAACTTCATAAATTAGTATTCAGTTTCTTGACCATCATCGTGTTCTATGACCTGAGAACACTTTTTCTGTAGAATAATTAAATTAAACACGATTTGGTATTTTTATGAAAAGGATAACAATGTAAATGATTTTCGATAGTTCAGCGGGATAGTTCAGTTGATTATTAGTTCTCCTCTTTAAAGCCGCAAAGCGTAAGATTTACTCTTGGTTTCATGTTAAGTGTGGTGCAAGAAACATTCATGATTAGCTTATTTTTCGCCTCGATTTTCTAGGAAGGGGGGATTAGCTCAAATGGTAGAGCCTTCGTTTTGCATGCGAGAGGTACTGGGATCGATACCGAAATTCTCCATTCTTTTTCCGCTGTAAAAAAGAAAGCTCATTTTTTCTTGCAACTTGGAAAAAGGGCACTTACTGCTTCTTTTGGACATGGACGCATGAGATTGAGATGTAGCCACTGACGTTTGTAATTAGATAGCGCTTAAAAGTGGGTGGTGATTCCATGGCTTTACAAAAGACCGTAAAGGGACATCACTCGTTGATATTTCCGGCTTTCTTAGTTCTTAGTTCGTTATTTCAATGCAAACGACCGATAAGATACCGCTTTTAAGATTCTTGCGCCTTTGGGCAGCGAAAAAATTTAAATTTAACAATAATAATAAAGAAGTCGGTTCAAATCATGAACGACGTATCAGTTTTGTTCGCCCGTCCTCTCTCACGGTTTAATTTATAAGAGTAATTTCTGTACTTGATATGTGGCGTAAAAGCAATGGAAAATTTAATACCATTTTCTCGTAATCTCTTGGTTATCAGAGAGGCAGGAGTCCCATTCTATATGCAAGATCCAAAGTCCTTCATAATTTAGTTGAAAATGTTCTTATATTGCTAATGTGTTTGACTGCTTGCTTGATGAATAGTTTGTTCTTTTTTTTGGTTTGATTTTTCTGTTTTTGTTATATTGTAAAATTGGAACTCCCAAAAAGGCATAAAAAGGGGCCTGTCCGGGAGTCGAACCCGGGACCTCTCGCACCCTAAGCGAGAATCATGCCACTAGACCAACAGGCCATTCTTGATAAAATGACTACTTTTTAAGTTATCACTACCAGTGTCAACATTAAATATCAATTTGTTCCTTTAAGTACCTGTACGGTGTCCCCGAAAAATGCGTCTAAAACTAACTCATGATTTTTACAGTTTTATTTTCCAAACGGCTAAGTCTATTTTCTTCGCTAACATCTTGCACTATTTGCTGACAACACTTTGATAAAGTTGGATTTGAGTTTTCTTCGTTTCTTTAGTTTAAGGCAGCACAGATTTATCCTGGCTCTCGTTCATAGTTAAGTGTAAGAAAAATCTAGGTTTAGCTAATTACAGGGGTATAGAATGGTAAATTCGAGGTAAAAACTCCGAGACGAAAAATCACCCGAAAACGAGAGTTCGAGAGGTATCACACACGCTTCCAAGATTTCGAGATCAGGCCAAACTTATCAGAGACCCAAGT